AAGAAGAAATAAGTCAAAAACAACGAAATGAGGACGAATACGTCAAAAGTCTGACAAAGAAACAAACAAAAACAGACAGAAAGAAGAAAAATACGCCCAAAAAGTTGAAACAAAACAAAACAAAGACACAAAAAACAGCAAAGTGAGACAGAAACGAACAAAAAAAGCCAAAGACACAAAAAGAAAAAGCCCAAATGAGTCAAATCTGACTGAAAAGACAGAAAAACGACCAAAAGGAGACGAAAAAGAGCAAAACAAGAGGAAAACAGTCACAAATAATGAATTTGACTGAACACAAATACGACCAATCAGTCAAATAAAGAAGAAAAATCACTTTGATGAAACACAACAACGACCAAAAAGAGACAAAAGTGATCAAAACAAGAACAAATACGCCCAGAAAGTAAAAAATTAAACAAAGACACAGCGATGAGCAAAGAGACAAAAACTATCAGAAAAGAGAGAAAATTTGACCAATAAGTGGCAAAAATGAGCAAAAGAGAGCAAAAGCACCGACACAAGAGGCCAAACAAACACAAAACAACTCAAACATACAAACAAAAAGACTAAATGTCACCAAAACATCCCCAAAAGGAGAAAAACTTTCAGCCGGAAACTGAAGCAACAAACAGTCACCAGGCTTTCAATTTTCCGACTGTCCATGAACGCATCACGTGCGCAGGTCTACAGGTAAAAGTTTGTTGTTTGTCTTCAGGCTTTAATGAAACGACTGAAACACGTCACCGGCTGCTTCCTGTCTCCACTTCTCTGGTTCTTCTGCCTTTAGTTTGTATTCTACCGGAACCTGAACAGAACCAGATCAAAGGTTCGTCTCACCTCCGGACGATGCCTTCACGGTTCCTGTCGCAGCTCCTGATGCAGGTGAGCAGCTCTGAGGACACCTGGTGGACGGAGGAGGAACAGCAGCGGGTGTTTGCAGATGGCTGCTGCCCCCTGGTGGCCGCGTAGCGAACAAACGTTTTAAACACGTTACTGACTTTTTAAAAACATGTTGCATTCTATATATGTTAACTTTGTTGTTTTCATGTTTTCTTTGAATAGTTTTTCATGTTCTGTTGTTTTTGATGTTTTATTGTCTTTAAGTTTCTTCAGTTTTATGCGATTTTCAGAATCAGTCTTTTATCAGATCAGATTGTTGGAAGTGAGAATGAAGCCGCCTGTAGAATAAAGGAATAAAAATAAAATAATAAAACCGACTTGTTCTTAATCATTTACGTTTATTTTGTCTGTTTAATGGTTGAATTATCAGACTGTGTGTTTTATTGTCTCTTTGAAGGTTTTGTCTTTTCTAATGTTTTACGTCATCGTTCGTGTTTAATCGTCTTTCCAACATTTTTATCATCTTTTTCTTTTGTTGTATTTTTAAAGTTTTATTCTGGGAACACATTTTAATTGTTTTCTTGTGTTTTTTTTCTGATCATTCGTCGTCTTTTTCATTTAGTTTTTCAGTTTTTCTTTTTCAGTGTTTTAAAAAAACGTTTTTGTCTTTCCTGATGTTTTACTGTCGATTTTAATGAAGTTTGTTTGACTTTTCAGACAGTTTGTCATTATTCTGTTTCACCGTTTAATCTGATTTGATCGTCTTTTTGATATTTTAGTTTTTTTTAAAAGTCTTTTCTCATTTTTATGCTGTTTTATTCAAAATGAAATGTTTCATTGGGACTCACCTGCTTCAGTAAAGGTGAACACATCTTCAAAACGCTGCAGGTCAAACACGTTCCTAACACGTTCTAAACGTTCTGTTTAGAACCGAGCAGCTTCAGACAGAAAAACATGCGAGACAGCGACTGGATTTGAAGTTTATTTCATATAGTTTTGATCATGAGGAACATAATTAAAGAACAAACACAGGAAACAACGGGTCAGAACACAGAATCCAACAGAACCGAGCATCAGGCTGCAGCGGAGAGAACAGAACCACAGGAACCGGACAGAAGGTGTAACGAGAGCCGATGTCGGAGGATACATTCGTGTGGGCCGATACAAACTGTACAGACGCCTCACCTGCTCAGGTGAGCTGGAGGGGCGGAGCTCTGAGGTATTTAAAGCACAGAGGGGGCGGAGCCTTAATGCCCAAACGTCACTTTGATATATTTGAGTCTCTAAAACACACAAAGTAGGAAACAGACTGTACAAAGCAGTAAACTATATATATATAATATATCCTTTATGTTTGGTCCGTTTACATTCATTTGGCCAGCGGGGGGCGCCCTCAGCCCAGCGGGGGGGGCGCTATGAACCAGCGGGGGGCGCCTTCGGCCCAGCGGGGGGCGCCCTCGGCCAGCTGGGGGGACGCTCTGAACCAGC